AAAAATGTGAGCCAAAATAAACTTCTCCTGGGCTGGGGATTTAGCTCAGCGGTTCGGCGGCCTGCCTCGCAAGTGCAAGGACCTGAGTTCAATCCCTGGTACCACAAAAAATAAAATAAACTTCTCCTTCCTGTTGTGGGTATAAGGTATTTTTGTCCCAACAAGAAAAGTGACTAAGACAGGGGCTATCACCAAAAAGAGAGGTTCATACACTGCCATTCTCCCTCTCTCTCTCACACACACACACACACTTTTTCATGAATTTTCAGGAGGTTTAGAAGCCACCTGATTCCTATTGGGGTGGGGGACAACACGCAGCAGACTCAGCATGGAGAAGAGCAGCCACGAGGCAAATGAAAGCACCGCTCTGTGGTGTGTAGGATTCCGATAATGGATGAGAAAGGAAATCACATTAAGAAATTAAAGAATTGATTAAATGATTTAAAGAGTAAGAGGTAGTGCATACTTGCAAAGCTTACTGAACGGTGGTACACAGTGACAAAGCAGTTACTGGTTAACTCAATTCTTAGCATTAACACAAGAGCACAAATGCAGTCCCTGAATTACAGACACCATAAGGCGAGCGGAGAGCAGTATTGTAAAATCCCCTCAGGCCTGGTGTTTCAACTGAGCAAGACTCAGGTTTGGTTGTGGTGGACGAAAGCGCCTCACCTGACGACTTACATCTGTTCACGGTGTACTAGAGGTTAAAGACCACTCTTGGGCACATGCAGGGAGCAAGTTAAAATTTACATTGTTGTTGGCGTGGCTCCAGGACCTTTAATGAATGTCAGGGGGTGAGGTAAGGACTAAATATGGTTCTGACTGGTATTTACAGATATTCTTCATGTAGTGGCCTACCTGTTTCATGACTATTCAGACATACATCTGAGGCTCACTGTTCAAACTTACTGCCCTCCACTCAGACTTACGACCTTTTTTTTGGGGGGGGGTTAGAGTTCTGTACATCTAGTTTATAGAGCTTCAGTGTGTTTGGGGGGTACAATATACCTTATTTATACATTACTGTAATTTTGCTGATGTACTGTACAGTACTGTACTTTTGTGAGCTGTTATACATTACAGTACTGCATGTAAAGAGGTATACAAATAAAAGCAAAGTCATCAAGTTGGAGTTTCCTTTGACCATTTCTTTGTTCTGAATATTATAATGTACATGCTATATATAATTCCTCATTTAATGGCCTAGTCACATGAACTTAATCTTTAAATGAGGAATGTCTGTATATTGTAGATTAATAATTCAGGAAAAGCAGTCAATATTTGATGCAATTGTATACCAAAAAACTTACAAAGAATGAAAAAACTAAAACCTCGGTTGGCTTTATACACATAACTATAGCATTGTATTAAAATGTTGTACTATTACCCTCTTTATTCTTATACCAATATATCCATCATCTACCATATATTCAGTGTGTGTATATTTAGATGGGCCCAAAACTTAGTACAATTAAAAATGTTTCCACCAGGAACTTAGTATTTAGGAATGAGGCTAAGAAACATATATAGTGTCAAAGTAGAATGAGAGTTCTACACAGACAGAAAGCCATACAGAAAGTACACTGCTAAGTACGTACTGAGCCGTCTTCAGAAGGAGACTGAGTGTGTCACAGAACACACTGGCCCCAGGCTTAGAAGCAGCATTGGTGCCGGTGCTGTAAGGCCTTGGTCAAGGACTTGATGCCTCCAAGCCCCCTGCGTGGGTTTAGCCCAGCCACAGACACAGCCCCTTCTTGCTCTGCGATTCCAGTACTGTCCCTCCCCCCTAGCGAGGACCTCTGGCCTCAGACTAGAATCATGACGCTACCTGTGACTGACTGGTGACGGGTACGTGGTACAGGTTTTAATTTCAGTGCTGCATCCTCCATCTATATGCCCTACGACCTGCTGGTGATGTAGGCTAATCATCCAGTCTATATCATAAAACACTAGAGGGGACATTAGTCACAAGAGGGGACCGACAGACCCATGCAGGTGTGCCCCCACTTCTCACAAGATCCCTGTTGCCCGGGTACCGCTGTTACATTGAAGTGAGGTACATCCATGTTGCTGTCAGGAAGTAGAGCCTCTGATGGGCCCAGGTGGGTCTGCACTAAAGCTAGGCAGCTCCCTTATCCCTGCCATTTCCATTTTGCTGAAGTAAAACCGAAAAGAATATGTTGAATGCCCACATCTTCATAAATATATATGATCGCCGTTTTATCTGAGGGAATGAGAGAGACCTTTGTTCCCAGTTACATTTGGTTGACAAAAGAGAGTTGCAGGAATTCAACACTTTTCTTGCAGAACTTCACAGGATTCAACAAATATTTGTGCCTTGCTCTAATCATTCCCATCAAATAAGTGGATTTCACCATAAGCCAACAGGTCTAGATGTGTCCTGAAAGAAGACAGTATCATTTTGAACAAAGTGAGAACATATTTTGCAGAGACATCAGGAACTTTTCTGAGTAGAAATAAGCCCCGATAGCAGAGGCCAGGACAGAAGAGGGGGAGAAACACTCTGCAGAACTCGGCAGCCCGGCTCTGAGGGCCCCACGCCAGTGGCTCGGGCTAGCTGGGGTGTGCCACTCGGACATCCCCTCCACAGAGAAGCAGCTGGAAAGCCACTCCCCTAGAGCAGATTAAGCTTTTCAGTGGAAATGTATTAACTATCTGGATTTGAAGCATGAGAGGAAAGTAAACTTGAGCCTGTTATTTAACTCCAGTATCTTTCTGTGTAGCATTCTCCTATATAAGGAGAAGCACTGTTTCCTGCTTCTCACGTGTCACTGCGAAGTGCACCATGGAAAAATACTTGGACTGTTCCTGTGATATGAGAGAGAAGGGGAGGAAGAAAGATTTCGAAAGTGCACGCAGCACGTACTGCAGGTCCAGCCTCACGTCACTGCCTCAGATCTCCCATCTGAGCCCACCTGCGTCTTCCTTCATGTTCATCTCTCTTACTCTTACTTAATTTTTAATAGTCAGAAATTCACTCTAGTTAAGAACTGACCAGCTTTGAAACACTAGTACCTTTAAAATGCAAATACAAATATTTTACCAGTAAAACTATTAACATACTACCATTTTATTCGAATATTTTTTCATCAGATACTTAGTTCCTAACAAAGACGTATTTAAGTTTACATTTCAAATATGGAGAGAAGTTCAACATCAGTAATAATAGCTGACATTCATTGGGTACTTACATTATGCCAGAGTGACTTCCATTCTTTACCTTATTTGCACAATAGCTCTCCAAGGTCAGGTACAGGTATTATGGGCACTCACTAATCAAGAAATGGGCCGGTATTTACACATGTGTGACTTATTTATTTCATTTAGGAGTATATCCTCATATGTATCCATTTTCCTATGAATGAATCTAATTTCTCAATTCTTTATAGCTGAGTAGTATTCCATTTTATAGAAAAACCACATCTTTATCCAGTTTCCAACGGATGGGCAAATGTCCCGTTTCCAAGTTTTACCTATTACAAACTGTGCCGCTATAAACACAGGAGCGCATATATCACTGTGATATGATTCTTTTTATTCTTTTGGAAAGATACCCAGCAGAGGGATGGCTGGGTCAAATGGAACCTCTAGTCCCAGCTCTTCGAGGTATCTCCATACTGATTTCTATAGTGGTTGCACCAGTCTGCACTCCCACCAACAATAGAGAAGGGTTCCTCTCTCCCACAATCCCACCAGCATTTGTTATTGTTTGATTTCTTGATAGCACCCATTCTTTGTGGGGTGAGGTGGAATCTCAGGGTTGTTTTCATCTGCATCTCTCAAATGACCAGCGATGTGGAACATTTTTCCATATATTTACTTGCTGCTTTTACTTGTCTGAGAAATGTCTGTTCATAAACTATAATAGTACATAAGTTCCTAATGATATAATGGACAATGTGAAATAGGAAGAAAGGGGCTAAAGGTGTAGGAAAAGTGGGAAGGGTGGGGGAAAGCTAATAAAGGAAAACAAAAAATACAAGAAAGTGAAAAAATGGAAATAAAGTGTTTGTAAATGGGGAGGGTAGGAAGGAGTGAAGGGAGGGTGGGGACAAGGGGAAAAAATGAGAACCGAGACCTGTCATGTGAAGGTACAGGATCCCAATGATGAATGTAACTGTACTGTATACCTAGAATGTACCAATAAACTCAGTGGGGGGGGGGGGAATGGGCCGGGAATTTAGCTCAGTAGTTCTACCACCTGCCTCGAAAGCTCAAGGTCCTGAGTTCGATCTCTGGTACCAAAAAAAAAGCAACTAATCAAGAAATGGACAGACTGAGTAATGTGTGTGGACTGGTAGAGCCAGGATTAAAATTTGTATCAGTTCAACTTCCAAGGATAATCTGTAAATTCTATAAACTCTGTAACATTTCCTCTGTAATACCTTATATATGTGCTTGTCAAGAATTTAAGGATTCAAGTTTACCCGAAGCTCTTCCTCAGGTTGTCCAACCCCAGGTCTCAACATTTCTTGACAACCACATCATAGAAATCACCAGCTCGCAAAGCCCCACTGTGGCCAGTCAGTCCAGAGCAGTCTCTTGCCTTTTCTGCTTCCCTTTATAGCGTGGAGAGGAACAGTTGGAAGAGTGTCTTTGGGTAGGCCAGGCAGTGCCCGTGAATTGACTCTGCTGAGAATTATTGGGTGGAATGTAGATGCTCTTTCTTAGTACCTATTCTCCAGCAATACAAAATGGACCTTAAAGAACGGAAGGAGGTGTCCTATAAGAAGGAACATGGAAAGGCCCGCTCCCATCTGGCTGGGGTGTACGGCCCAGTCTTTACACTTGATCTTAGCCAAAAGGCCGAGAAGCGATTACGGCCCAGTCTTTGAGGCAGCTCTCAGTGAACATATCCCAAGCAGGGGCGAGGGGTCTTCTGTTCTTATCATCTGCCTCCATGATTTTGTGAGCCTACTCTTTTTGAAAAGACTGTTGGACCTATTGTTGACATCATGTTTCCCTTCCCTCCACAGGTATGAACGCTTTACAATTACAGAATCTGGCCACACTGGCTGCTGCTGCAGCTGCAGCCCAGACCTCAGCCACCAGCACCAATGCAAACCCTCTCTCCACCACAAGCAGCGCCCTGGGAGCCCTCACGAGTCCTGGTGAGTAGATGCTGCTCCTCCCCACAGCAGATGCAGCAAGAGTGACTCAACACGTGGGTCTGCACACACCCACGTGCAAAAGGTGAGCTTAGGTGTGCCCAGCCACCAAGCCGAGCAATTTGCAGTGGGCATCTGGGTTACATTTCTTAGTTTTCTGAAGAAACAAAAAGTAAATATGTTGTATTTTCTAAGGATAAAATGTAAAGCATTTTTAGTAAGGAATCCACTCTGCCAGCGGTTCTCACATATTGACTTTTTTTTAAAAAGTCTACACTGTCCATCCAGTCCTCCTCAAGGTATCTGCCACTGTGAAAAGTGTCATTCTCTTTAGTCCTGCTTTTTTTGGTCCTATCTTCGCCCCTCCCCTGCGAAAAGAAGGATGTTAAATCTCAAAATCCCTAATCGTTCCAGTGCTGGGTTTCACACCAGGTCCATCCTTGACATTTGATTTAAAATACGTGATTAGCAAGGAACATCTTCATTGTTCATTTATGGTCAGCTTCTGGACTGTGTAATTCAAACTTTCTTCCTCAGAAATCTGTAGCCTTATGCAAAAGCAGATGCTATTTTCCTTTTCAAACAAGTCAGATATAGTATGGTTGCTTAGAAACTATAATTTGTTTTCTTTTTATAAAAAAAGGCAGAATGTTTCACTGGCTTTTCTTCGACATTTCTAGACTTTGATAGATGATCTCATCTTCTTCTGTTGCATGAAGGAGTTAGCCTGGATAATCTCCAAGTTTCCTTCTAACTTTGAAAATCCCACGACTCTCTATCAGCTGTGCTCAAATGGTTAGCTAAGTGTTGACAAATTGAATGTAATACTGCAGAGTTTTCTTTGAGAAAAATACAGAATAAAAGCTACGGCACACTACAGATCAGCTTTCTGAAGACTTGTGACTTCAGGGAGCAATGAGATACACTCTTGAAACACTCTTGGGCCCTTGGTCTCTTTGTAGAACACTGTATCTGTAAAACATTTCTCCCTGAGTATAGTCTGGAGTGGGAGACCCAAGAGATGCTTTAAAGTTTCTGGTGGTTTGTGTGAAATCTCACGGCTACAGCACATATTCGTAATGACTTCTCCAAAATCTTTTAAAAATTGACCATTGCTATGCATAAGCCCCATTATATACAATATATAGTATGCCTGAAAAAATCAACTTTAAGTTAGTTTTTTCAAGAAATTAACCGATAGCTTTAATGCAAAATAATTAAATCTTTTAATGCCTTTTGAAAAATAAACATTTTAATATGATTTTCCTCTTATAAAAATGAGTGATTTTCCTCAAAAACAAACTAAAAATGTGACTTGATTCATCTCTTTTACAAATCAAATTGCAGAGTGCTTTCTCAATAGGATTATTTTCTCCCATATGAGGACTACGAAATAATTACATTAAAATAGCACAAAGTACAGCAAATGGATTTTACTGTATTTTGGGTCAGAATTGTCAATCCAAAAGCAAATGGAGCTGATCCATGAAGGTAATGTACTTCGATAAATAATATCTACAAGTGTCTAGTACGGCATCAGGCTCTGTCCTGCCCCCGAGAGATGGCAGTGAACAGGGAAGGCACTGCCGTCTCTCTCGAGTCTTGCAGTCTCTCAGGAGAACTCAAACTAAGGACTCAGTGGACGGCATGAGGTGGATTGTGAAGGACGTCATAAAGACAGCACAGAGCAGGTGTAAAGCAGTGAGGCCGGGGAGCTGGCGCGGTGGTGGCCATCCAGGGAGGAGGGAGCGAAGCGAAAGGCGGTGAGGTCCGTGTCCGCGGGCTCACAGCATTCCATGCAGTATGACGAGGATCACGCATTTGCAGCGACCTTCTTAAAATGTGAGGCACTGCGCCTAGGAGGATCGCTTGCGTGTTTGCCGGAGGGAATGTGAAACGTATTTGACTGCTCGGGTCTGGGGTGTTTTTTGTTTTGTTTTGTTTTTTCTGAGACCACAGTGAAAGAGAAAATTTGTATTTTCCTTCTTCCTGCTCTAGTCAAAACCCATCACTGGAAACTTGTTCTTCACTTTACTCTTAGGCATTTTGCCCTGCAGTAGGTTCTGCTACCTCAGGTATCACAGAAAGTGATTTTTCTCTTCCTTGGTGGAAATGCTTTATATAATGGCTAAACGTGTTTCATTAGAATCCTGACATGTTACGGTAGAAACAATTTAAAACTATATTTCAATTAGTTTTCTTAAGTGTAACTAAAAAATCTGCCGTTTAAATGGAAGTGAGTTTATTACTTGTGGACTTTGTCAAAGTCGCACAAAGTGTCGGTGGAATTCATAACTCTGCACTTCAGCAGAGCAAGTCCCTGTGAATCCAAAAGTCAGAAGCTCTTCTCACGGCCAATGCCATTATGTGTTTTATAAATAAACTGGGCTTACTATTGGTACGATAAGCAAGTCGAGTCACACTGTAAAACACAGGGAAGCCTCATCGCATTCCTCACAGGACTTGGGTTTACCCTGTTCTTAAATATGTCTAAGTGTCAGACAGATTCATCTAGAAAGGAAAGGGACTGTTTAATCCCCCAAACTATTAATTTTTTAAATAATTGTAAATTTATCTTTTCAATTTTGCATACCGAGAAAAATTCTCCCTTCAGCATTATTATAAATGATTTTAAACAGTCTTGGCTTTAAAACATGAAAGATTAAGCTTTAATTTTTATTTTTTAAAATTCCCTTAGGCAAAAGATAGGTTCTTTTGTCTCATGGCCTTGAAATAAAAATTAAAATAGTTTAAATTGCCCATGGTTAGAATAAGTGTTTCATGTAATTATCAGATGGTAGTGAATAAAATTAGAAATTAAATCATGAAAGAATAAAAACCAGGTAAGTGCATATTACACCTTTTATGGGGTTCTCGTGGGTCTTTTGAAGCCTAATTTAATCGTGTTTGTCTTTTATTTTGAGATGATAATTTTTGCTTTGTTTAGTTCAGTCTATTTAGTTAATTCTTGAGTAATTTCTTCTTACCCAGTTTTCGACTGATTTTGAGGACTGCGTTTCTGTTTAAGAAGAAACAAACTGTAAAGTGTGTGACTAGGTATTAAATGTAACATCTGCCTCCCACCCCACTTGTTTGTTTTGTTTTAGTTTTTTTGAGACAGGGTCTCACTATGTAGTTGAGACTGCCCTGGAACTCCCTATGTAGTCCAGGCTGGTCACAAACTCACAGGGATCCTCCTGCCTCAGCCTCCCCAGTGCTGGGATTACAGGCCTGTGCCCCACACCCAGCTTTCCCACCCTACTAGTACATGTGTTGTTTTGTCTAGTAACTGAAAGCTTGGGAGAGAGCATTACTATTACCACATGTGGATCATCTTTGGCATTTTTAGTCTAAAACCTAACATGTGCCACATTATTTCACTGACCTTCTTCTCTTTTCTTTTTAAAAGAAAAGAATATTTTGAAATTCCCCCAAATGCTTCTCTGAGTACAAACTCAGTCAAGTGCACACTTCAAGATAATGGATAATTTCTTTCAGCAGTGTAAGGCATTTTAAAATGCTGGGAAGCATTATTCCATTCCCACCATAGAATTTTCAAAAAGTCTTCTCTCTTTATCTTCGAGGTGTCCTTGCCTCCTTGAAGATTGCAACAGACAGAGTTGCAGGAAAATGCTGAAGCTTCCTTATGGATTGTTTGAGGCTAACAGGTTTAAGGTGTTTTAATGTGATTCGGGGCTTTCCTGCCTTCCTCACCTAAAAGTGACTGATGAGTGGATTCTGTCCCTTTTGCACACCTGTGTCAACAAAACAGTTGCATGAGCAACAGGAAAACAAGAATTCAGCCCTCACTGTTATCTGATGGCCTTTCAGTGTGCAAAAGGCTTTTGTCACTACCTTCAGTGTATCTGCCCCTGTATCGTGTGAGAAGCTACATTCTGTGAAGGGAGGAGAATCGCAGACTCATTGAACTCACATTTCCCAGCTTTTTAGTACATACAGGTCAAGTACATAAAGGTGAGGCAGTAACAGATGGGGCTGGGGGTGAGGCCAGCAGAGAAGGACAGAGCATTGGGAAAGGCCGTCTCAGTAGGCTCTGCAGTGACGCCTCGACCTCAGAAAGTCTGACTGAAGTTTTCTACTGACCAGTTTGTCCCAGTATCTTCCCATTGTGTTAGATGTCTCACTGCAGACACTGAGAGAATTCAGTTCACAGCCAGCTAGGACATTAACCCTCATACCAATTGTCTTCCTGCGAGCATCTTTGTCCCCCCAGTTGACATTAATCTGCACGAGGCACTTGTTTTCATACCCTTTGTGCTCTTGGAAGAGCCTCCAACTCAGCTCCTACTCTCTGTCCACCGTGGGCAAAACAAAACAGCTCTGTCAGACATGTATGCAATGTGGCAAAAGCTACAGTGAATTTAAAATGGTTTTTATTACAGTTCAAGACAGGGCCCTTAATCCACCTCAAAGACTCCTCTCACTCCTAACACACTCATCCTATTTTCATCACTTTCTGAGGCAGATCTGGAAGCAGATCTTTCTTTGTGAATACCTTCAGTTTTGTTATGGCTGCCTTGATATCCTAAATTGATTCAAAACATCTACCACTCATGGTCATACTGACTTTGAGGAAGAGCCAGAAAACGTCCTGTGGATGAGGACACGGTCTGATGTTTTCATGAGCCCGGATTTTCACAGGATGACAATTCAGCGGGAGGATTCACCATTATTTGTAATCATACCTATTGAAGACACTCACAAAATACAGTTTCCAGAACTGTTTCAGAAATTTGCAAGAACAATAGGCTAAGTGTGTTTGAAGCAAAGGGGAGCATTTTGAGGGACTTCAATGGCATTGTGTCTTTTACTGTAATAAACTTTTTAACTTAAACATTAACCATACATTTAATCACCCCTCATACTGTTCAGCTCACTGTGGTCTAAGCTAGAGTAAAACAAGCTCCTGAGCGCTGCTCCGCTCCGTCTTTTCATAGCAGGACTGCACTGCAGCCGGTCGGGTCATTCTTCGTCCCTCAGAG